GCCGGAGCCGCGGGGGCAGCTGCAGGGCCGGAGCAGCCGGTGACCCTGTCCGTGCACCGGGAGGCCCCACGGCGCAGCCGCCGCCGCAGCTCCGTTCCCAGCTGCCGGGTCAGAGCGGCACCGGCACCGGCCTGAGACGCAGGAGAGCTGGTTACGCTGGCTCTGAGAACGCGGCCTCTGCCCTGCCGGGGTTTAGCCCGGGTAACAACAGTCAGAAAGTTGATTTTCCTGCGCAGGCACAGGGCTGCCTTGCACCAATTCACGGGCAAAAAGAGGGTCTAAATTTGTGCATGTGACTGAAGTAACGCACGATCATTATGGGAATGTGAGGAGAGCAAAGGCTTGGGGAATCTTTACTTCTATTTAATAAATTAACTTAGTAAAGATCAATTTATTTGTGATACGATGTTTTAGAAACAAGACTTGGTTAACATGCAACACTTATAACCATCCCTCAGTTGCATGGTTAGCTGCCCATGGTCTCCTAGGCATGTAAAGGTTTTTAAGAGGGCTCAGGGAGCTGCACCTTGAAAAAAGAAAATAAATAATAAAACAATCAAAAAGCCTCTTCAGATGTTGTCTAAACCCACCTAAGTCAATGATAAAAATTTTCTAAGCAGAACAAAAACATGAATGTTATGTTCATGATCAGAGAAGAGTGATAAATGCTGAATATATCAGCTCACTTTTCATGCAGAATGACCTGTAATATTTCACCTGGTGAATGCTGTAAGATACACGCTACAGTACTGTTTGGTCTCCTTTCAGCTCTAGGAACCAGACTATTCTTATAACCCATTCCCATAGCAAGCAAATTTTAATATAAAGTGAATTACACAAAAGTGGATGGATTCTGAAAGACCTCAGAATAAGTGTCAAACTAGCTTAAAGTAAATGGGATTCGTTCTGACTTGTACTAATGCTGGCTTCTCTGACACCCGTAGAGCCAGCGTATGAGACACAGCAACCACTCTGCAGAGAACTCTCCCATCGAACGACGAAGCCTAATGACCTCAGATGAAAACTACCACAACGAAAGGGCTCGGAAGGGCAGGAACCGCTTGTCTTCCAGTTCCCAGCACAGCCGAGATCACTATCCTCTAGTGGAAGAAGAATACTCTGACTCATACCAGGACACGTACAAACCCCATCGGACCCGAGGATCCCCCGGCGGGTACAGCCATGACTCGCGGCACCGGCTTTGAGACCCTGGCGAGGGAGCCGCGGTCACCGCGGGACGACCTGCCACAACGGAGCCAGGAAAAGGGAATCACCTTCACCGGGCGGGCGTAACGTGGTCGTCCCGAAGCTGCGCTCTGCCCTCATCGGATGTTACGTAGGGAGCAAAAAAAGTTTCCATGCCCTTATGTTCACGCCCAACCCTATAGGTTGTTTTTTGTTTGTTTGTGTTTTTAGTACATTTGCATTTATAGCCGAACCTTTTTCTCATCATTAGATGTTAGACTCATCGGTTTGTAATTTTAGGGTACTTATCAAGACACTTAAAAAATAATTTCCTGTGCTGGAAATTCCAAATGACCAGTTCCGGTTGGAACCAATTTATAAACCAATTCCTGTTGGAATTTGGGTGAATTGACTGGAAAGTCGACTTGAGCATGTTGCAATCAATTCAAAAAATGCAAATGAAAAATCAGAAAACTATAGACCACTAAACGTGAGAAAATCAGCTACAGTATTTGTTTGCTGGAAGCTAAATTTATACTTAAAGTTAGAATACAAGCATTTTTTTCTAACCACGTACTTCCAGAATGGCTCTTTTGGACAAACCAAATGTAAACTGACTGTAGTGCCAAGCGTCATAAATTGATGCAGCAGTTGGAAAATACTTTCCAGTTTGAAATTATTTTTAAATCTGGCATGGATGTTGCAGCAGGATGATTTTTTTAGTCAAGACAGAACTGATGTTTCTGTTGTGGTCAGCAGTGATGAACTATGACAGAATAAGGGGAGGCAGAAACAGGAGAATGAACGAACTCCAGAATAGTTTGTATGGGTAAAGCTGGAGAATAGTCATTTATTTCTCTTGTTTACCAGAATACAGCTAGCAGTCCCAAAATAGAACATCCGTGTATAGATATGTAATATTTTTCTCCCATTTTTAATATTGCGCCTTTTTAAATGGAAAAGAGTACACTGTCCTTACCTAGTGTACAGAGTACCTGCATTCCAGTACATGCGAGCACCCGTATGCTACATCCCTCCAATCCACCTCTGAATGTCTGCAAAGTCCAGCATCGCACAAGAATTCTCCAGAACAGCAGTTCACATTGTAGGGGTGAAATCTAGGGGCGGTTCTTAAACATTCAGAAATGATGAAAATTCAGAATAACATGTTGGTCAGAATTAGCTTGCAATAAAAATAAGAGTATCAAAAAATACCCCTGCTCGCAGTAACGTTGCAGAGCTGACCTTTTTAATTCCAATGATAACTCTTTGGAAACACTGCTGCCTTACTTCCTAACAGAAACTTCTCACCTGCTGAGTCTTGGGTTTTTTAAATGGATAAATTTATGTAATTAGACCTTATGTCTTACATTATCAGTGAAGCCTTAGATCCGGTATGATTGAAATAATTACCATAACTGACCATTTTGTACGACCCGCTGAGGTACTGAAGCAGCGACACCTGACATGCCGCCCTGCATGCGTTTTCTAAAACCGACCCGATAGGCGAACACGCATCTTTTATGCAGGTTCATGTCAAAACTATTTTTTTGGAAATGAGGATTGTTAATTTTTATATTTGCTTATTTTCTTCCCAAAGCCTGCCCAAGCAGGCTCTAGAAGCATGTAGCAGTAAGTGCATTTCCTGAGTATTAAGAGGTCTCCTACTTTCTGGACCCATTTGCAAGATCACTGGTATTTTCCACCACCATTGAGCCTGGTTATCTTCTTGATGTTAACAACTAGAAAAGTAATTCATCTCATATCTGGTAAAACCAAAAATACTGTACATCTCTAGCAGCATTAGAAGATAGTGGATGCACGATTAGTTATTTGAACAACTTTACTGCCTAAAAGAAGGCCTTAAACATCTCTAGGTGACTCAAAGGAGCCAGTTACCAGGAACAAAAATGTAACATATCTGCATCCATCGCAGTACTAGAGTTACGAGTGGCTATGAAAGACCTGATCCTGTGTGGTTTTCTCAGGCTGAATTCTTGCTGATTTGCTTTGAGAAAGCCCTGCAGGAGCTGGTCTGGGAATGGAAGCTTAAGCTGTCTTCTCTAATACTTTCTGCTATAGCACAGTGGAGCATTCTCCAGTAATTTTTACAAATATTTGTTACATGTACAGCACACATACCTGCATGAAAAAGAAGGCATTAGGCAAAACATTTTTTTCTATAAGCTTTAATAAGTTTCTTGTTTGTGTGCATTAAAGTATTAATTGCAAAGGATGCACTGAGATGTATAAACCTAGATTAGACAGCTGTTTATCTTTATTCTGTAGTAGCATTAGGGATCAGATCATTAACTGCTTGAAGATATTTGCATTTTAATGGCAGGTAGCTGCAAAGCACCTGCGTATATTTTCTAGTAAACAAGGTTACTGCTTTATCATTTCCTCGACAAAAAAATGTCATCTATTCCTAGAGCCTTTTGGAGCCTTGTTTTGAAGTCTTCCATGTCATGCTAGCGAAGGGAAAGACCTACACACAACACATATGCACAAATTGCATCCAGAGCCGCGTCTGAAGTGCCAAAACGACCCTGTTGAACAAAAACAAGCCGTCGAGGGCAGTCATGTCCTGTCTTGAAAGAACATGCCGAGTTCCTTTACTGTGTGGGTTTCAGTTTACTATTGTATGTAATTAGTTTACTCCCCTCTCCCCCACACCCATTGCATTTTAATAGAAGCAATGACTTACAAAAGATCCAGCAGAACTCCTTGCTTGGTGTTTTTTTATTCTTTGAAGATAGTTATATCTTTAAGTACAAATATACCGAATGTGCTAATAGATTATTATTTTATTCTAGATACAAGCTACTGGAACTCTTTCATTTTAAAAATAAATTATTTTTAGGAAACACAGTAATCAATAAAAGTTGCAATGTTGATCAAGACATGTAAACTCATAGTATTTGTATTAGAACTTCAGCAATGCTAGCCCGCTGTATTGTGATTTCTTATGCGATGGCGCTATATAAAATTGTGAAGTTCATGTATTCCTGAATGAATACAAATAAGACTACTTTTCTATTCCTCATGCCATTTCTTCTTGTTGTTATAATATTACTAGAGGAAAGATCAGAGTTCCGTTCCTAAGCTCTGGCTTATACAGAGACTTTTAGAAATGTTTATAAAATGTCGATGAGCTTTTGTTACCAGAGTTTTTCATTAGGACACTTTGGGATTAATGCTAATTTAGTCAATAAAGGTGACATGACAATCTTAATATCTGAAGACAATATACTTCAGTGCATTCATATGTTTGTAAATGAATTAGCAAACAATTTCAAAAATCTTGAAGCTGCTTGAAAGGCAAGTCATTGTCAACCTTTCTATTTATAATTTTTTTTTGGCAAGTCATATTTGGCAGATATACAGGTTCTTTTAATTACATAAATGAATATTTATCCCATGGGACATGCAACTCAAAAGTGATTATGTTTTCTGCCTGAGTATATTAAGGAATTACGGCTTAAAGGAACCTAACAAATTTTAGTTTAACGATGGGACAAATTCTATAACTATCTTGGAAGCAGGTTCGATTGGCCGATGGGTTCCTGAGAGCTGCTCGTGTGCCGCGGCCCCACGCGGCCTTGCTCCGTGTGGTCGTGAATCCTCTCCGCGCGGCGCCCGGGCCTGGCCCAGGGTCGGTGCTGCATGAGCCAGGACAGGTTCTGTGGCGCCTGGGCCTGGCGCTGGCTCGGTGCCTGCGGCAGGTGCCCCGGGGTCGCTCACAGGAGCTAGCTCTGCTCCTGCAGCGAACGGGAGTGTTTCCTTTTAATGTTTCCTTTTGGCCTGGGTTGGAGCGCTCCTGCGGAGGGTGTCTGGGGGTTGCATCTCTGCACGCTCCCTGCTTCTTAGACAGCGCTGCTGAGTGCCTCGGAGGGCAGATTCCGGACGGGAGGAGGGTGGTTGCCAGCTCGGGGCAGGTCCCCGCGCGGGACGTGCCCGGAGGGGAGTCGCTCACAGTCCCGGAGCTGCATGCACTTGGCCTCCAGCCCTTCCGAGCTCAGCATGGCCACAGCTCCATGGACCCCTCTGGGCTTTCCAGAATCTCACATCTGTACAGACATTCCCATTCCCAAATAATACCACTAACGCTTAACGGTTATTTTATAGCATATTGGCTGGAGTGAATCAGGGCTTTCACCAGTCCATTACTTTCTTTAAGAATTCATTAAATGTGTCCTCTACTATATTTTGTTTCTGAATTCAGTGTTAATGAACTCTGTCCTTCATTCCATAGTTTTCATTTTCTTAAAGCAAAAATAATTAGTGAGCATTTATGAAACAGTCAGCTGCATATTGTATATAACATCACTTAGACAAATCTGCCTTCTCTCCTAAAAAATCCTTATTTTAGAATTGCATTATGTTGCCCCAATTGGTGTTAATGCAAGTCTGGATACATGGGGTTCTGCTATGATTTTGCTGCAGCTACCTCTTATTCCTTCAAATAGTAGTTCTACAAGGTGTATCTGGACTCTAAGACAATGTAATGCAGCCAACTCAAACTTTGGGTTGAGAAATAAAATTCTCACTATCTTTAAAATGATGCCAAAAGAGAATATAGTATTTTAAGAACAGTCATTTGTATAACCTTTATGGATATTGTTATTCAAGTCCAGTTTATACTGAAAAAAGTATGTCTTTAAGATATATTTTAATAATGTTGTAGAAAAAAATATATATAAGGAATTGACTTGGATAAAAGAGCTGTAAATGCCCCTTAGTATCCAAGTTATTGCTAGTTTGGAAAAAGAAATCTTTTCCCCGAGTTGTGGAATCCTTTTCACAAGTGAAGTGCTCTAACTGCCTCTACAGAAAGTCCTGGAGAAAGTGGCGGTCACGCTAGCGCGTTAAGCAGCCGGTCTCGTTCCTCGCGCTCCGTAGCTGCCACTTCGGCAGCGGCGAAGCCGGCAGTGACGCGGGCGCCGTCCCGGGGCGCTCGCCAGTCCTGCCTCCCCTCCCAGGGTCTCGGGACGAGCTCCTGGCACCTGGGCCTACAGGCGACTGCAGCTGGACACGGGCTCTGGCCCGTGCAAAGTGTGACTGCAAATGTCACACAGCGCTGGTCAGACACCTTACACGTATTTCCTGAAAAATGAAAAATGATTGACACTCCCCCTTGATACTACTTCTACTCTCTATAAGCAGTAGAAAATCACTATGGTAAGAAAATATATTGTACAGTACAAAATGATATTTTTTTTTGCCAATGACATGAGCAAAGCAAGGGAAAAAAGCACACCTTATAATAGCACAAATTTACAAGAATTCCACTATTACATTTGGCATTTTTTAAAAATAGGTAGATTTTTCTGAATTGGTGTCAACGAATTTACTGCATTTTCCATCAGTTTAAATTGCTGCCTGATACTTCCATTTTGCATATGTGATTTGATTTTTCAATGAGCGGTGTTCCTTCCATGTTAACAGGAAAACAACCCCCCCAAACTACAATTAGGAAGTCCCTGCATCCCTGCATTCACCTGTAGGGATTTCCTCCTCAAAGCTGAAATTAACATGCATACAAACAGATTCCTAATTCTGGCCAATGCAGAGATTCTGCATGTGCCCGGTAACAATAGTGGCAGCGTTCGTAGCCCAGGGTCTGGAAGGCGGTAGTGCTACTTGCTGTTGTGCAGCAAGGAGCAGGGAAGGGAGGACGTTGCATCCGCCACCCGCACGGTGGGAGTCCTCCCAGATCCACTGGCACTGCAGAGATGTGCAGCAGCAGGGAACAAGCTCGCGGGCCGCCCGGGTACGCGCGCCCAGACTGCGCTGGCGTTGGAATCAGCCTGATTCTCCTCCAGAACCTGCACCTGCGGGCAGGGAAGCTGTCCGAGAGCAGCACAGGAAGAGAATCAAGCGAAATGCACTTGTATGTATGCACAAGATACACTAAGTGGTAAAGTAACAGGAGGAAGGCAGTCACTCAAGCTCTGAGCCACGGACCTTGGGCTTCTCCGTTCCCAGATAATCTGTTTCTCAGCCAAGCTAGTTCCCAGTGATAGCCTGAACGCGCCACCACTTGGAGCCAGTTCAGACTCATGATGGTAAAGACATCATGGCCTTTACCAAAAGAAAGGAAAATAACCTGTTTTCTTCTTTGCTGATTTGCCCCTTTCTGTTCTTACTTCTATAGATACTGTATGTGTAGCATTCGACAAGGCATGCTGGGTAAACTATACTATGCAAATGTATACAGTGTTGCATGCTTTGCTCTCCCTCTGCTTTAATGCCTTTCAAAGAAAAAAAAGTGTCGTTATTTTTGTGAACAGAACCATTTAAAAACAGAAAATGCAGACTGCATGCTTGTAGTATCCTCATTTCTATGGGTTTGTTTTATGGAATTTAGATGTACAAAAATGAACTGCATTACAATAACTTTTCTACAATAAATCAAAAACTATACGAACAGTGTTTAAAAGTCTTTTTAAGTCTCTTTTTGTATTCTGGACTCAAAAGACTAGAAAAATGCTCGGCAGAGTCAATTAAACAAAATGTTGCAGAGCTGTTTGTTGTTTGCAGATAGCTTTTGGCAGCAGCTTAACGCGCTAACATTTTTCTAATAAAAATTAATGAGATTGTGAAGAAAGAGATGCATCTGGTCTGCGGAATGAATGATTTATTTTTAGAGCTATCTGCTCTAAAATGTTGCAAATCAGACACACAGAAACACATATTATAACTCACTATTCCATCAATAAGCAGAAGACTTTCAGCCAACTGAAATCAATGGGAAGATTCTCATGGATGTTAATGGCTTTTGGCTCTGATCCTCCGCTGGATTTCATTAATTTAAAACCTGCTCCTAGAGAGAAGCAGCATTAAAAATAATGTGTGGTACTAAGGAAGGAGGGAACAGTTAAACCAAGCACTTTCTACAGGCTCTTGCAAACAAGCAAGGGCTGAAGGGCATCACCGTGGGCCAGATCCACAGTGCAGTGCTAGGAGTCCCTGGGCAAGCTCCCGTGTGGGGTTTGGCACAGGGACGCAGAGGCTTTTGGCGCAGACCCTGTGATCACCCAAGGAACACGGGGCCCCCGCGTCTGCAGCCCCGGCACCGCAGTGGGACCGCCTGGCTTCGCGCGATGCTCCTGCAGGCAAGCAGCAACTACCCGTGCATCCCATTGAACTAGCTTGGCTAGGCGTTCCAAACAAGATATAAAGCGTGTGAGTTTTAATCTAAGCTGTTAATAAAGTCCTTAAGACCTTCTCAAGGAACACGGGGCCCCCGCACCTGCAGCCCCGGGACTGCCTGGCTCTGTGCGACGCTCCTGCAGGCAAGCAGCAACTACGCGTGCATCCCATTGAACTAGCTTGGCTAGGTGTTCCAAACAAGATATAAAGCGTGTGAGTTTTAATCTAAGCTGTTAATAAAGTCCTTAAGACCTTCCAAATAGAGGAAAAAAAAATTCTTTTGTCTGTTTTCCTAAGTTCCTAGAAGCTAAAAGTTTATTAAGCCTCCCCTGTTGTCCATCCTTGGCACATATTCCGGTTTTCTATACAGTTACGTCCCCTTCATTGGTGACATCCCGTGCCGGGGGACTGTGCAGTCAGGCTGCCCAGCAACAGCTGAAACTGCCCCCAGGCTGCTTCACAGGCACTTGTGACTGGGATGTGGGGCCTTAAATGAGGAAGCCTGTCACTGAATTTCCTACAGACTCCACTGATTGGCCAATTTTTCTTAGCAAACACCAGCAATGGCCATACTATGGCATTAAAAAAAGCCCGGTAAATGTTAAATCAGGCCATAATACAAATGCCTTCAAACCATCATGTAGCTGGCAGTAGGAAGCCATAGATGAAAACAATAGCCTCCTAGTCCCGAAACGCAGCGTGTATTCATCTTGTAAATGCACACCCCTTTCTGCAGCTGTCGTGTACCTGCAAACCTTCGCTAGCGCGCGGCAGGATGCACAGAGGCCACAGAGGATACGCGGTCCTGAGCAGTCTGATTTGGCTTCAACGAGTGCTGGCTGCAGCTTGTTAAGTTGCTTCGATAAGGCACACGTCTGAGAGAAAAAGTACAGGGGAAAAAAGACTCAATGCTCTTTTATTTAAAGATGTGAAATAAATGGTTTAACTGAATGTTTGCTACCCTCTCCTTAACTGGGCAAGATCTCTCACGCCTACGTAAACCCGCAACGAACCCACAGACTTCAGCAAATTACTCTCTGTTTACAGTAGAGGCATGGGGAACAGAAATGTATCATAAGCAGCTGAAATTTTCAGCAGAAGTACGGCAAAAGGAGAGGGAAAGAATTACCGAGCAATTCTGTTTCAGGCTGAACGCTGAGCTTGTGGAAAGTGGGGGATTTCTTCCCTTTGCCTTTCAGGTCCCGCCCCAGTGCAAGGAGCACTGGCACAGGCATTGACACCCTTGCTGGAAGCTCAGTTCCCTCTTGCACGACCCCAGGGCCTCCTGCGAAGCCATCGCACGCACCCAGCTGTGACCCTTCCCTGCTTGTCATTAGGGGGATAAATTATTTTGGGTAATATAAACAACGAACATTAGGAAATATATTTGTGCATTGCATTTACATATGTAAAGACATTTCTATTTTTCCAAAGGCACGACGTTTGTCATGTTTGGGCATAAAATCTGACAAAAAGCATGGCCAATACATTATATCTGGCTGGTGTTGGCCTGAATTACTGCACATATGTTACTAGTGCAGCGCATGATTTATTTTTATCCTGCCAGAGCATACTTGTAACATCACAGTTTATTATCATCAAGATTTTTATTTTCCTTAACTATTAAGAATCACATATTCCCCTTCACTGCAACAGAAAGCAGAGAAGCTTGCACGAGCTGGCAGGAATTCAGAGATTCCTACTGGCATTGCTGCCTCAACTGTGGGCCAGGATTGCACAGGGAAAAAATACACAGAACCATAGAATCACAGAATGCTGGAGGTTGGAAGGGACCTCTAGACGTCATCTAGTCCAACCCCTCTGCACACGCAGGGCTACCTAGAGCACGTGGCACAGGACTGCATCCAAGTGGGTTTTTATAACAAAATATATATATATAAAAAAGCCATGGTTGTAATAAAGGCTTGTAGAAGCAAAAAAAAAAAAAAAAAAAAAAATCTTTGAAAGAAGTATGTTATGTGGGAAGGGAGTGAGACATCAGGTGGAAAGAAGAAAGAATACCAGAAAGCAAGGTAGAGGAGGAACTCAGCAAGGAGCTGCACCAAGCCACGAAGGTCAAAAACAGATCAGGAGATAAGTGTGTGTGGATAGGCAAAAAACAGGCCATCGTGCAGGTGAGAGGGCAGTAAGGAATGAGGTATCAAGGCCAATAACACATCATTTAAGTGTCATTTTTTTCTTATATATATATACTGCATAATACCATAAATCATAAAAAGAAGGCTATCCAGAGCACTCTGTCCCAAATAAACAGGGATAAAGTACGTCTCCATCCTTGGCTGAAGTGGCATCTGACCAAAATCTGAAAATTAAAGGAACTCAATCTGAACAGCATGATGATGCCACGTCACTCTGCCGGGAAGCGGCAGGTTCAGCTTTCCCAGAGCAGCGCAGGTCTGCTCCTTGTTTACCATGCAGACCAGCACGGTTTAAACGCAGATGCCGACAGCTAAAAGCTACGGAATCTCCCCAAAGCTCTGTGAGAAAATGTTCTCCGAGGGGCGAGCTCTCACGCCGCAAAGGCCGCGTGCGGCAGCGCACTCCCCTCGCTAGCCCGTGCCAAGGAGAAAAGGTGACCGGCGCTGTCACCGGGCAGGGCTGGCCCTGCCCTTTGCGCCGCCAACAAATCTCGCGTTTTGGGGCGCTCCCCCGCACCTGATCCCCGCTCCTCAGGGCACAGCCCTAGAGAGCGCGATCGGAAACGCTGCCTGGGGCCGTAGAGGGCTCCGAGTGTTTC